ATGGACACCCCTCCCTCGCCACGGGGTGACCACTGCACTCTGCTGGGGCGGGGGAGTGGCTGGGCTGTCCCTGGCACCCCTGGGGGAAGGGGGTTAATGACAGTCCTTTCTCAGGGCTGTGCAGAGGAGGGTCCGTGGAGCTGTGGCTGGGCATAGGCCACCATGGGGTGTTTTCAGTGGGGGAACACAGAACTGCCCCCCGAGCACTCGGGGTGCTTCTCTTCCCCTTCACCAGGTGCCAAAGTGGCCAGAAAACAGCTCGTTGTGGCAGCAGGTGCTGCTGCCCCGGTGGGGGGCACAGCCAGGGAGACTGGGGGAACCCTGGGAGGCACAGCCAAGGGGTGAGATTCCCAGGAGGTTCCTTGGATGTGGTGGGAGCTGCTCATGGGATTCCTGTTCTGGGTGCTCCTTGGTCCACGTGTGCTGCCATGGGGAGGTAGTGCCCACCCTCCCAGTAGACCCTCTGCTCCATGGAACAGGAACCAGAGAGAACCACTGAATCCCAGAATGGCTTGGGCTGAAGGGACCTTAGAGAGTTCATGCCACCGCCTGCCCTGGGCAGGGACACCTTCCACTAGATCAGGTCGCACCAAGCTCCGTCCAACCTGTCCCTGAACACTTCCAGGGATGTGGCATCCCTTCCACGCCCTGACACGGGACAGGACAGGTGTGGTTTTGCTGGTGGGGCAATCAAGGAGCCAAAGGATCTGCAGGGAACAGCCTGGTGTGCCAGGACACCAGGGTGGTGGCTGGGCAGTGATTCCCATGGGGATAGCCAAGGGCGATCGATGCCCAAGGGAGCCAGAAGAGGGGAGTGGGGCTGTGCCAGGGTGGCCCTGCCCCTGTGCCCAGCCCTGCTCCACGTCTGTGGCAGGTGGTGGAGACGCAGTTCGTGCTGTCCTTCGTGCACCGGTTCCTGGAGCACCGCGGGGCCACCACCTACTTTGCCTTCTGCTACCCCTTCTCCTACACCGAGTGCCAGGACATGCTGGCACAGCTGGACGGCCGCTTCCAGGACTGCAGGCACATGTCCCCCAGCAGGTGTGCCCCCCACACCCCCTTCCCAGCCCTCTCATCCCCTTCCCAGTGTGAGAGTGCCCAGGCGGGAGCCCCCTCGCTCTGGGTGTGGCTGAGCCCCTCCTCGCCCCACAGCCCCCTGGACTCTGTCTATTACCACCGGGAGCTGCTGTGCCACTCGCTGGACAAGCTGCGTGTGGACCTGCTGACGGTCACCTCGTGCCACGGCATGCAGGAGAAGCGGGAGCCGCGGCTGGACAAGCTCTTCCCAGACACCAGCACGCCCCGGCCACGCCGCTTTGCTGGGAAGAGGGTGAGTGGCCGTGCCTGCGTCGGGGCTGTGCTGGGGACAGGGGGGTCAGCAGCCCCCACAGTGGCCCCTGTGTCGGTGCCTTGCTGCCGCTCTCATGTCTGTGACCCAAACTGTGTCGTGTCCCCAAGGGCTGGAGCGTTTGGGTGGAGTGTGGGGAGCAGAGTCTGTGAGACCCTCCTGCACTGCAGTGTCGGGGGGCAGGCAGGGACCCCCTCACCCCTGTCTGCTTGTCCCCAGGTGTTTTTCCTCAGCAGCAGAGTCCACCCAGGAGAAACCCCCTCCAGCTTTGTTTTCAATGGCTTCCTGGACTTCATCCTGCGGGAGGAGGATCCCCGTGCCCAGATGCTGCGGCGGATGTTCGTCTTCAAGCTCATCCCCATGCTGAACCCTGACGGGGTGGTGCGGGGCCACTACCGGTGAGTGCGGGGCTGGGCTGGGCTCTCCTGCCTGGAAACCTGCTCCATGTTTCATGGAATCATTTGGGTGGGAAAAGCCCTCTGAGACCATTGAGTCCGACCATTCCCCCCTGGCCAAGGCCACCACTAACCCATGTCCTCAAGTGCCACATCCATCCCTGCAGGGATGGGGACTCCACCAGAGTCCTGGGCAGCTGTGCCAGGGCTGAACAGCCCTTTTTGTGAAGGAATTGTTCCCTATATCCAACCTAGCCCTCCCCTGGCACAGCTCGAGGCTGTTTTCAAACCTCCCTGGGCAGCCCCTGCCAGTGCCTGACCACCCTTTCCAGCAGGAAATTCTTCCTGATGTCCAACCTGAGCCTCCCCTGGCACAGCTGGAGGCCGTTCCCTCTCCTCCTGTCCCTTGTTCCCTGG